TCCCCATCCCCCACAAAAAAAAAGTGAGAGAAAATTTTCTAGATCTAATCTGGAAAAGACAAGACACCTTTTGTGAATGCTAAGTAGGGAGACTTAGAAAATGAAGAAAGAAAAGACCCTAATGGTCTCAGAAACTGTATAAGAAATAATTCTACAGCTGAAGTATTTGGGCACTTTCTTTTTTTTTTTTTTTTCTTTTTTTTTTTGAGACAGAGTGTCAGTCTGTCACCCAGGCTGCAGTGCAGTGGCGCAATCTTGGCTCAATGCAACCTCCGTCTCCCAGAGTCAAGCCATTCTTGTGGCTCAGCCTCCCAAGTAGCTGGGATTAAAGACATGCACCACCACTACTGGCTAATTTTTGTACTGTTAGTAGAGATGAGTTTTCACCATGTTGGTCAGGCTGGTCTTGAATTCCTAACCTCAGGTGATCCACCCACCTCGGCCTCCCAAAGTGCTGGAATTACAGGCGTGAGTCATTGTGCCGGCTGATTCCATAAATTTTGATCAACTATTATTTTCTTAGAATGCATGACCTATTGCCAAATTCACCACTTCATTGTCACATTTTTCTTTTTAATCAATAGGGAGAAGATTGTTACACAGGAATTGAATTTGTTTTACTGAAAATTGGAATTGAATTAGTTCAGATAATATCCTTAACTTTCTTATCTCTCTCCATTCACTTTCAATTATTCAAATTATAACAAGTTCCATTGGAAAAGATGCATACTTTTACCTTCTCTTTGAATTAAAGGTAATCTGAAATAAATTGATTGCTTCTGCTAAATAGACAAATATAATTACTAAGTATTATCAGGTTTCAAATAACACTAATAGAATATGTACACAGGTAAGACTCGTTTAGTATTATTTAAAATCTCATTTTTAAAAAATATGATAATGGAGACAAATTTGCTATTAAATAATTTATTTGTAATGCATAAATGCCCTTAGCGGTCAATCCTATTTGGGTTTGAGAAAAACATGACATTTTCAAGTTATCTTAGTTGGTGTAGGTCTAAAGATACGGAAGGGAAGTAAGAACCAAGAGGTTGTGTCTTAGCAACTACTCAGCGGGCAGCTGGAACTGTAGCTCATTGAGAACACACAATGCAGAGGACTGATAGCAGCTCTTCCACTCAACAGCAACATCTGCAAAGATCCATTCAGCAGTAAACTTCTGCAGCTTTCTATGACAAGGATTCCCAACTTGTAAGTGGGTTGATTTCAGTCTCTGCTTGTAACTCTGTATCCTCCAAAACTATTCTCTCCACTTGTCTTCTCTCCAACTCAAGGTCTGTGTTAGCTTTTACTGTCTTGTGACTTCTGAAACCTCAATGTGTCTCTAGTTTCTGCTCACTTAAGTTTCCCTCCAAACTCCCAAGGGAGATCTGCTTTATGGTTAGTCAACATCCAATATTGACCATTCTTGCTGGGCAGAGTTTAGTAACACTTCATGGGCTGATAGCTAGGGTTTTAGCTATCTTTGTCTCAAAGGTTAATCCTTGAACTGAGTCAGCTGACCCAGGAAAGCAGGAGTCACATGATGTAAAGCATAATGGCCCTAGGAGCAGAGAAACACTCAGCTGTCGTTCATAGATGAGGTCTTTGGACATGGAAGGACAATGGGCACGGGTGTACGCACAGAGCGACATGGTCTCCTCTCCAATGTAAGTCTTCTTTAGAGGAATCAATGATACGAACGTTTATTTTTAAAAATTATAAAACAATAATGTTGGTTTCATCCTCCATCCCAAAATTCCAAGTAATTATATTCAAGTACTGTATAACAACATTTTGGTCAACAATGGACCACATATAAAACAGTGGTCCCATAAGATTTATAATAGAGGAGGGGCATGGACCAGAAATCTGAAAGAGGTCAAAGACACCCAGGCCAGGTGCCCTGCCACAGGTACTCCGGTCCTGATATGCAGTAGGAGGGGCACAGTGTTAGAAGCCCCTTCCTCAGTGCTGCCAACTAGACACCCAGCCCATGGCGAACCCTGGCCTTGGGGCTGCTCCTGGCCCTGGGCCTGCCTCTGCTGCGGGCCTGCTGAGGCCCAGCCTTGAGACAAACCTCCACAGCAGGGGCCCCTTCTGTAAATGAGAGCAGCACTATTATGCCCACCAGGTCTAGCTCCAGTGGGGCCCTGTCTCAGGGGCATTACTGCTATCATGTGGACTTCTCCATCCTGACCACCCTGCTCCTGGCTGTGGGGCTGGAACTACCAGTGCAGAAGCTTCGGAAGAAGCACAGATGGAGGCGGAAACCTACCCGCCCAGCAGCAAGGAACAGGTGGGTGCCCATGTACCACAGACCCTCAACTTCAAGTTGCCTCTGGAGGAGTAGCAGCTCATCTGAACACTGGTGTCAGAGGCCTTTGAACCAAAGTGACTCCATCTTGAATAGGGGCTGCGTAAAATTGGTAAACGAGTTAAGAAGAAATTACTTAGGCAGATAATGAGGGTACGGAAGTCTTCGGGAAGGTTGTCCTTTTAATGAAAAGCAGCCCCAAATTACTTTTTCTTTCTAACGAAGCGCAGCCTGTAAAATCGAGCTGCAGACACAGATTGGCAGTTGTGCCAATCATGTTCAATATGGTGGCTCCATCTTCCCTTGTTTTTTTTTTTTTTTTTTTTTTTTTGAGATGGAGTCTCACTCTGTCGTCCAGGCTGGAGTGCAGTGGCGCCATCTTGGCACACCACAACCTCTACCTCCTGGGTTCACGCTATTCTGTCTCAGCCTCTCCTCCCCCACCTGTAGCTGAGATTACAGGTGTGCGCCACAAAGCCCGGCTGATTTTTTTTTGTATTTTTAGTAGAGACGGGGTTTCACTATGTTGGTCAGGCTGGTCTCGAACTCTTGGCCTCAAGTGATCTACATGCCTCAGCCTCCCAAAGTGCTGAGATTACAGGCTTGAGCCACTGCACCTGGCCCATCTTCCCTTCTTCTGTACAGTAAGGAGCAGACAAGATGGCGCTGGTTAACTGGAAAGCCCATTTGCACAATAAGATTAGGATGGGGGCAACCAGCCTTACCACAAGCACTATGAAAACATCATACCTGATCGAACCAATCTGTGAGCCTTATGTAAATCAAACACTGCCTCCTCAAACCTGACTATAAAGTCTGGCCCATCCACTGCTGGCAGGTCTTTCTTCTCAGAAGTTCCCTCTCTCTCAACAGACAGAGCTGTTTTATTTTCTTTTCTTCTGCCTATTAAACCTTTGCTCCTAAACTCCTCATGTGTGTCTGTGTCCAAAATTTTCCTGGCACCAGATAACAAACCCTGGGTATATACCGCAGACAATGTAGCCGCTTCAAAATGAAGCTGAGATCTACTGGGCTGTATTCCCATGAGGTTAGGTATTCTAAGTCACAGGATGAGATAGGAGGTCCACAAAAGATGCAGGTCACAAAGACCTTGCAAAATAAAACAGGTTGCAACTGGGCGCAGCGGCTCACACCTGTAATCCCAGCACTATGGGAGGCTGAGGTGGGCAGATCACCTGAGGTCAGGAGTTTGAGAACAGCCTGGCCAATATGGTGAAACCCGTCTCTAGTGAAAATATAATAATTAGCTGAGCATGGTGGGTGCCTGTAATCCCAGCTACTCGGGAGGCTGAGGCAAGAGAATCACTTGAAACCAGGAGGCGGAGGTTGCAGTGAACCGAGATCACACCACTGCACTCCAGCCTGGGCAACGGAGCGAGACTCTGTCTCAACAATAATAATAATAATAATTAATAATAAAACAGGTTGCAGTAAAGAAGCTGGCCAAAACCCACCAAACCAAGATGGAGATGAAAGTGACCTCTGGTGGTCCTCACGGCTCATGATATGCTAGTTATAATGCATTTATAATGCATTGGCATGCTAAAAGACACTCCCACTAGCATCACTATGGCTTACAAATGCCATGGTAATGTCAGGAAGTTACTCTGTATGGTTTAAAAGGGGGAGAAACCCTCAGTTCCAGGGGAATTGCCCACCCCTTTCCTGGAAAACTCATGAATAATCCACCCCTCATTTAGCATATAATCAAGAAATAACCGTAAAGATAACCACCAGCCCTAGGGGCTGCCCTGCCTATGGCATAGCCATTCTTTATTCCTTTACTTTCTTAATGAACTTGCTTTCACTTTACTCAATGGATTTGCCTTGAATTCTTTTTTGCACGAGATCCAAGAACTCTCTCTTGGGGTCCGGATCAGGACTCCTTTCTGGTAACACTAGGGCCCACTGCAGCCACTGCCACTGCCCAGGACTGCCGGGTGCTGGCTTCCTGTATACAGCAGCTGCCACCACCTCTGACAGCTCAGAAGGACTTGCAGGAGGGGCTGGGGGCACCCGCCTGGCAGGCACTTGGCTGTGCCTGCAGCTGAGGGTGTCAGGGCTAGGGATCCACCTCCTCGCTTGTAGAACCATCTTCCCTCTGTGTGCACTGCAGGCCTGACAACTCCCTCTCCTTTCTTTCAGTTCTCCCATGCAGTTGAGGCCTAGGTCCCTCAGGACTCCAAGAAGAAAAGTGTGGGGCTGTGGGGCTGCCTGCCCATCTAGTTCCCCTCTCCCCCATTTGTCCCACTTCATGGCTGTGTGACCTTGGGGAAAGGTAGAGCCCTCTCTGGGCAATCAGATCCACCCAGTTCTTAAGAACAGCAGGGAAGAAGGTGTTTCAAAGACTGCTCCTGAGGGCAACGGAGGGTAGGGCTGCTAACTTTTTATACACTTATATAAAATGAATAGTGAAGTATAATAAAGTTTGTTTGTTTTTGAGCTGGTGGAGGCATTAGCCAAGATGGAAGACACAAATGCAGAGGAATAGTAAGGCTGTAAGGATCCTAGAGTATTGGGGGGCTTCCTGGAACTCCCTTCTAGGAGCCAGTTAAAGAGGCTGCCCTTGGAGGGTGAGAGGTGGGTAGGTTGTGTTCCCCTCCAGAGAAAGGGCCTTAGAGAAATTCACCAGGAAAAACCAGCTTCTGACTCTTGTGGCTTTATTGAAGGACAGGAGTCTCCTCCTGACCCTTGATCCTTAACTGTCAAAGCACTTCAGATCAGCCACTCTGGGGGCTGGCTCCTGGCCTGGGGCTCTTGCTGGTTGCTTGTGGGTGACAGAATTCAGGCCTCCCAGTTCTTCCAGTGACTGGAGGTGAGTGTGCTCTACTAGCAGGACCTTGGGAGGCTGGGATCTGGGGTTCTCTGGAGAACTAGAATCTGGGGAAGGATCAAGAGGCTGGGCTGTCTGGGCAATATCAAAGTTGGATTTTGTGGGGGCTGGAATTTGGGGGCTTTCTGGAGGGCTGGGCTGGGTGGGCACAGTGGAGAGCCTGGAACTGGGGCTCACCTGGGCTCTAGAATCTTTGGCTGCCTTGTAGGGAGGGGAGGGATAAAGGATTAAGGACTCTGTGAGAGGAGAGTGTTCGGGGTCCCCTCCACTACTTGGGTCTGCAGGAGCTATTGAGGACTGAGATGGAGAAATGACTTCTTGGTCAGCCTCTAGGACAGCTAGGACTTGAGATTCCTTGAGGAGGAGCTTGTAGCATCCACAGATGAGGTATTTTGCAGAGACGGCAGGTCTGCAGGCAGGGCAGGGGCTGAAGCTCCTCTGGCAGTTTCTCATTGTCTAGTTGCTATCTTGCTCTTCCTGGTATGTTGGGCCGGGCAGGGTGGAGAGATAGGCAAGTTGTTGACCTTTAGATGGCAGAGGGGTTGGCAAGATGGATAGACCATTCGGGTAAACCTTGGGGAGGAGGCAGGGCATCCACCAGGATGAATCAACTGTCTAGGTCCCCTCTGTGACAGCAGTTTAAACTCTGGCCTGGTCTCAGGCTGCCTGCACTCTTGGCTCCAACACTCCAACTGTCCAGAATCTCACTCAACAAATCCAGTTGTTCTCTAGACCTCAAGATGCTGCTGCCTATAGCTTCTTTTGCCCATAGATCCCCCTCATCCTCAGGACTCAGAGGAGGTGTTCTGGGTGATGATGGGCAGTCTTAGGTACTTGCCTGAGAGCCCCAGCCCTGGCCAGGCTGCTCTGGAGTTTGGGGACCCTTATCCCCATCAGTTGTGGCTCCTGCTTTCAATATTGGTGCTCCCCTTTAGATTTGCCCCTCCCTTGGCGGCTCAGAAGGTTCCTCTTCCAGCTGGAGTCTCCTGCTGGGGTGGAGGGGCTGGTTCTGCAAAGTGGGGGGAATGACAGGACCTCAGGAGCTGCAGAATCAGGGGGCTGAGGCTTGTTGGAAGAGGGCGAGTGTGAAGTGGGTGCCAAATATTAGGGTAAGTGATGAGGGAGGCAAGATGTCTGGATGGGGACTGTGGTGGGTGGAGGATTCAGTGATAATACCAAGTGTGTCTATGGCGGAAGGGGTGTTCTCACCTGTTAAAAGTGCTGAGTGACAGGCAGGTGCTGCTGCAGGTGATGTGAGTGGCTGGTGAGGGCTGGGCCCTCACCAAGCACCTCCTCTGGAGGCCAGAATCCCCATCTGAGGAAGAGAATGCCTGATCTGGGAGCCCCCCCCCACACCTCCTAGACATTAGCCTTTGGCTGGTCTTACCTTATACATTAGCAGGCTCTGCATCCCCCTCAAGCTACTCTTGGCCTATGGAAGCACGAAGGGAGAATTACACCTGAGGCTGATTGGACCCTGGGCATTTCAGAGCTCAATCCTCTTATCTCAAAAGACAACTTCATCTTGCCATCTGTCCATCTCTGTGTCTCAAATATGTCCACAACCCTCCATGCACCATCTAAGAAATCAACACAAACTTTCACTCCTTTGGCTAATACAAAAGGAGTATTCCGGGAGGAAATAATCCCCACATAAAATGGAAAGTGGCAAAACAACATTGTACAAGTGTTCATGGCTCAAAGCCATAAAGTATAAAATCATGTGAACAATTTTGAGCTGCAAAAGTTGGCTCCAGGAAACTTGTGGGCTTGGGAGGAAAAAAAAACCCCACATAAGGGCAAAAGCTGGGATTATATGGTCCAAGGACAAAGGATGTTTGCCAGTGAATCTTGGTTGTCAATTTTAAAGAAGCAGGCTATGATTCTGACAAAAATGAGCATGATAAATGGAAAATAAAAGTGAGAAGACTTGTTAATAGAAAAAAAAAAAAAGATTATGGGCTGGGTGTGGTGGCTCACACCTGTAATCCCAGCACTTTGGGAGGCCAAGGAGGCTGGATCACTTGAGGTCAGAAGTTTTTGAGACCAACCTGGCCAACATGGTGAAACCCCATCTCTACTAAAAATACAAAAATTAGCTGGACATGGTGGCACACCTGTAATTATGCCTGTAATTACACCTGTAATCCCAGCTACTCTGAAGGCTGAGGCATGAGAATCACTTTAACCTGGGAGGCAGAGGTTGAAATGAGCCAAGATCATGCCACTGCACTCCAGCCTGGGCAACAGAGTAAAACTGTGTCTCACAAAAAAAAAAAAAAAAGAAAGAAGAAGACGACGACAATGAAAAGAAAGCAAGAAAGAAAAGATTATAATGAAGCTGAAAAAAATTTATTGCCTAGCGATATCATAGCTGTCATAATGTTGCAAGGCAACACATTACTCGCATGTTTGGAGGGATACTGGTGTGAACAAACCTACTGCATTGCCAGTCATATAAAATTATAGTATGTACAATTATGTACAGTACATAAAACTTGATGATAATAAATGTTACTTATTTATATATTTACTATATTATATTTTTAATTGTTATTTTAGAGTATACTATTTATTAAAGAAAAAAGTTAACTATAAAACAGATTCAGGCAGGTCCTTCAGGATGTATTCCAGAAGAAGGCATTGTCATCACAGGAGATGACAGACAGCTCTATGTGTGTTATTGCCCTTGAAGATCTTGAAATGGGAAAAACTGTGGAGGAGGAAGCCAATGATATCAATGACCCTGACCCTGTATAGGTTTAGGGTAATGTGTGTACTTATGTCTTAGTTTTTAACAAAAATGCTTTAAAAGTAAAAAATACATGTAAAAATAGAAAAAAAGCTTTTAGAATAAGGATATAAAGAAAGAAAATATTTTTGTTTGACTGTACAATGTGTTTGTGTTTTAAGCTAAGTGTTATTACAAAAGAGTAAAAAATTTGAAAAAATTATAAAGTTGATAAAGTAAAAAAGTTATAGTAAGCTCAGGTTAATTTATTATTGAAGGAAGAATAATTTTGAAAAATAAATTTAGTATAGCCTAAATGTGCAATGTGTATAAAATCTACAGTAGTGTACAGTAATATCTTAGACTTTCACATTCACTCACCACTCACTCACTGACTTACCCAGAAAAACTTGCCTTTTTGCAAGCTCCATTCATGGTACCATTTTTTTTAATATACATTTTTTTCTTTTGAGATACGGTTTTGCTCCTGTTACCCAAGCTAAAGTGCAGTGGCAAGATCACTACTCATTGCAGCCTGAACCTCCTGGGCTCAAGCGATCCTCAGACTTCAGCCTCCCAAGTAGATGAGATCACAAGTACATGCCATGACACATGGCTAGTTTTCAAAAACTTTTGTAGAGATAGGGTCTCCCCATCTTGTCGAGGCTGGTCTCAAGCTCCTAGGCTCCAGCAGTCCTTCTGCCTCAGACTCCCAAGGTGATGGGATTACAAACATGAGTTATCGCACATGGCTTCATTTTTTAAAAATATTTTACACCATATTTTTACTGCACCTCTTCTATGCTTGGATACACAGATATTTATCATTGTGTTACCATTGCCTACAGTATTCAGTACAGTAATGTGCTATACAGGTTTGTAACCTCGGAGCAATATGTTATACCTTATAGCCTAGGTGTGTAGCAAGCTATAGCATCTAGGTTTGTGTAAATACACTCTATGATTTTCATACAATGAAATCACCTAATGACACATTTCTCAGAATATAGCTGCATCATTTAGCAACACATGACAGTATCAAAATTTTTTTTTTTTTTTTTTGGAGATGGAGTTTCGCTCTTGTCACCCAGGCTGGAGTACAGTGGTACGATCTTGGCTCACTGCAACCTCCGCCTCCCAGGTTCAAGCTATTCTCCTGCTTCAGCCTCCCAAGTAGCTGGGATTACAGGTGCCTGCCACCACGCCCAGCTACTTGTTGTATTTTCAATAGAGATGGGGTTTCACCATGTTGGGCAGGCTGATCTCGAACTCCTGACCTCAGGTGATCCACCTGCCTCAGCCTCCCAAAGTGCTGGAATTACAGACATGAGTCACTGTGCCCAGCCATTATTTTCTATTTTTTAGTGATGGAATCTCTCTCTGTCATCCAGGCTGGAATACAGTGGCACAGTCGTAGCTCACTGCAGCCTTAAATTCCTGAGCTCAAGGAATCCTCTCACCTCAGTCTCTTGTGTAGCAGGGACTACAGGTGCATGCCATCACACCCAGCTTTATTTATTTATTTATTTATTTATTTATTTTATTTGGTAGAGATACAGTCTGGCTATGTTGCCCAGACTGATTGGTCTTGAGCTCCTGGCCTCAAGTGATCTTCCCATTTCAGCCTCCCAATACACTAAATTACTTTTAGGGTTTTCTTGTTCTTAACATAGACTTAATTCTCTGTTAATGTGTTTCTACATAATTTTGATATAGACTTCAAATTTATTGCAAAAATAGTCCTCATTTTGTTTATCTTTTAATATTCAGTATCATGAAGATGGCCTGGCATATAAAGGGTAATAAATACATGTTAGTTGAATCAAGTCCATGAAACAAGTAAATAATGACAGAGACATTTGTATTGATGTCACTGAAGACAGCCTCAACTTCAAGCCTGGTAAATGAGAAAACTTGGTTGGCAGGGGCAGGACCCCTGGGCATCTGGTCTACTGGGCAGGTGCACTGTTAACAGAAGGGCAAGAACATTTTCTTATAAGCTGTAAACTTCTTCAGGAGTCTAGGAAAGTGGGAGGGACACAGGTAGGAATATAGCAGAGGTCCTACCAAAAGATGGATAAAATGCACCTCCAGGACATTTAATGAGCAGGCCAGCTCGCTAGATAACCGTAGACATCCTCCTGGCTTAATGTAAGATGAAATACAGTCAAGGACTCCACATGAACATATGCATGCCCTGTCTTCTAAATGTGGTTTCTGTAAATGTTGCAATGTAAATACATGCATATCTCTACTAATCTTTAAGGTAATGATACTGTGTTTGGGGGCATTTCATATGGAGATTGCATCAAACTGGCATCATTGTTACCCAATCATCCAAAAAATAAATATTATGTACAATAAAACATAAATTCCAGCCGAGAGTAGTGGCTCATGCCTGTAATCCCAGCACTTTGGGAGGCTGAGGCGGGTGGATCACCTGAGGTCAGGAGTTCGAGACCAGCCTGGACAACATGGTGAAATCCTGTTTCTACTAAAAATACAAAATTAGCTGGGCATGGTGATGGGCGCCTGTAATCCCAGCTACTTGAGAGGCTGATGCAGGAGAATCACTTGAATCCAAGAGGTGGAGGTTGCAACGAGCTGAAATGGTGCCATTGCACTCTAGCCTGGGCGACAAGAGCAAGACTGTGTTTAAAAAAAATAATAATTCAATATTAATAAATATTTGATAAGCCCATTATTATAATGTAATCGGACTTTTATACCAACCTGTCATAAGCAAATTCAATAAATTTTTCTATACCTATGTCCTTCTTATGCACAAGGATAAACTCAGAGTTCTCCAATTATTAAGACTTAGTTATAAAACCAGTTTAAGCACAGGATTTCAAACCAGCCTGGGTAACATAGAGAGACCTCATCTTTGCCAAAAATTAAAA